TCCCGCAAGCCTTAAGGTCTGGAGTGCTCAGCTTTTATTTTAAATAATAATAATAATAATAATTAAAAAAAGGATGAGGTGGCACTGTTCGTTTGGGTGACGTGGAAAATGCCGGCTGTAGAAACGCTTGTTTCCTTTCTGAATTTGCAACGGAGAGATTCCTTCTGTATTCAAAAGCAAAACAGCTACAAAGCACGAGCTTGCTTGGAATACATGGATAGTATTTTCAGTGTTCTCAAATTGTATGTTGTGTTTTGCTCTGACTGCTGAGCATTTGAATGAACTTAAAAATTGAACGTAAAGCGTTTGGGGGGAAGAAAAAAAAAAGCAAGATAAGTTTATTGTATGTTTCTTGTGGTGTTTTTTTCTTTTTTTTTTTTTTTTTTTTTTTTCAGATGGCATCTCCTTCCCATTGTACTTTCAGGCTGAAGGGATGACACCTCTTCTCCATACCATACAGGATTACTTCTCCTGTTTTGCCTTGCCTTTTTCCCTTTCCCTATCTGCTCTTCCCTAGTCTTCTGTTGATTCTCATACTCCTTTTTTCCCCCCCCTTTCCTTCCTTCTTCCTTAACCGTCTCTTTTTTTAATAGTTGTCATCTCAGTGGTCTCCTACTCTGGTGAGCCCTCTCTGTTGACAGTGACTGTTCACAGCAGTTCAGGTCCCTCTCCTGAACTGTCTGCCATCCTTTTTGCTGGAGAGGATCACCTCAGTGATGAGCTGTCAAAACTCTGAGCAGTCTCTGTTCTCTGACGTTTTCCTTGTTCATCCTATCATATCAGCCTTGTTTGGCACTTAAAGCTGGACGGTGACTGAAGCATAGACATTACACTGGTTTGGTACTTTTGCTGTGACAGGCATAGCTGGTAGAGGGATGGGGCAGCAGTGGCAGCGCTGTCTCAAACTGCCTCGGCAAGGCTGGTTGGGCTTCACTGAAGAGAGCAGGTTCTGTTTCCAGGTGTGTTTCCCAGCCCACTGCTCTGTCTTGGAGCTGCTCTTGTTTTGCTCCATTCCTCTCATTTGAGCTTTCCAGAGGCTGTATTCACAGGGATGCAGATTTACGTAAGTGCTGTGGAAATAAATAGATGTTTTGGTTTCTGCTTGGAGATAATCAGGCAATGGTCTCACATTCAGCTTGTTTTTCTTGTCCATTTGTGGTTTTCTATTCAGGTTCCTAATCAGAGAGTCAAGATAATTTTGCCAACAGGAGTAAATACCTGGAAAGATGCCAAGGGAACTGCAGATCTCCATTGGCTGAGGACAGTGTGGCTCCGTTCTTCACAAAAATAATGAGATATTCTGTGTATCAATCACAACCAAATATGTATAAAACAAATCAAGCTATTGCAAGAAAATAATTTTTTTTAAAGAAAATAAAATCCAGAATATGAAGATCTGGACAAAGTCATTTACTGCATATTCTTTTGCTGATCATCCATGTACACATTATGGTGGAAGAGGTTTTGAGTCAAGCACAGATGATACTCCTGCACCTTTTCAACGGTTTAAATAAAATTTCCAGTCTTTGAACCTATAATAGCAGCTATTGCTGGTAAAATTTTATTACAAATCTTATTACAAATAGATGAAGGCTTTAGTCTGCATACTCACTGCAATGGGCCATGGTTGTACCATTTTAGTGATGTTTCCCTGGCATCTAGTTACTTTTTTATAACCTAGTGTAACACAGAAACGTGGCAGGGATTAAGAATGGGAACATTCAGGTATGTGCCTGTGAGTTGTGTACTGCTGTCTGATTTACCTGGGAGGAAATCTGCATTTGAGGCACTACAATAAATTGTTGTCTTCTTAAGCGGTGCTGGAGGGAAGAATTAGATTAAAGACAGGGAAAAAACCCCAGTTCTTGTTCAGAAAAATCCCAAGACAATTTGACTTTTAATGAACAGCTCCATTTCAGTGAGTGCTTGAAATTGTCACTGAACCAATTAAGGCAAAATTTCTGCATCGCGTTGTAGACTAACTACAAAAATTCAGAAAGTGCTTGTCATACAGGTGTGGAAGTTTTCAAGAAAAGCTGCATAATTTTATTTTATTACTTCTTGAGGAAATGTAATACATGATTCAAATTGAATTATGTATTTTCAAATTAAAAAGCTTAAGCGTTATTTTGCATCAGAGAGATTATGGTTTACAGACCCTGTGTGGGTGAGAGCATCAGCTAAAGATTTTTCCACCACAGCACTGTCAGACCCCAGCTGTGAGATACCCAAGTGTGGGAGTAGCTCTGACAAATGGTCTTTTGTACCTGGGAACAGAACTATTTCTGCAGGGAGAACCACCAAGAAGTAAACAGGTGCTTTGGGAAGTGTGCTGTGGCCAGTACTTCAGACCAGATAAACGTTACGTGAAGATTAGGGTTTAATTTCGTAATGGGAGAGAGGAAATTGTATTCTGCTTCTACTCTGCTTGTCAGCCTCAGTGCTGTGGTGGCTTTTTCACTGATGCAAATCTAAAACAGAGCTCTTAAATGGTGCCTGAACACACTCTTCCATTTTCTGGGCTGTGCAAACCTATGAACAGGGTTTAAATGCTCTGCGCATTAGGCCTTGCACATTGTGGTGGGGCTCCCTGTGGGGTTGGTAAGGGAGGCCTGTGCAGCAGTAGCTGCTGCAGGGCATGGGATATCTGCAGGCCCAGGTAATTGGCAGGAAGGGAGCCCAGGGAATTCTAGCTGTTTATCAGTGCTGAATTTCCCAGGAACATTCACAAAAGAGTAGTTCCTTCTTTCAGGATGACTTGGATTCAGTCATTTTTCTGGCTACATGCAAGACTATGCTTCCAGCGTTTCTTCACAATTTGTAGTCTAGTCGGTTTGAGTAAATCTAGTCTAGCAACCCTATGCATTGAGATAAATTCTCAGTGAGATTTTTTTATTTTAAAAGTTAATTTCATCTTTTACTTATTAAAAGTATGATAGTATTTCTTCTGTCCCTACTACGGAGGCTGCTATTTTTTACAGGTTCTTACATGATAAAACAAATAGAAGTTATTTTAAAAGCAAATTATAGGTACTCGTATTCTGATGGAGCCATTCCAGTTGACCTGCAGTGTGCTGATCAGTAATAGTGTGGCAGGGAGATGCTTTCCTTTCTCTCTGCTCAGAATAAGGCTTCATATTGACAGACTTCAGGGTTAGCAAGGAATTCAGAAGATCACCATCTAAGCACTGAGCTTTCTGTAAGAATAAAGCTAACAGAAAGAGACATTTAAAAAAATTTAAAAAAAAAAAGTCTACTTTGCTAAGCCAGGAAAATGAAGGAAAATAATACAGCCCAAAAGCAGAAACTTTTGGGGCAGGCCAGTTGCAAACTTCATTACAGTTTACTCTTACCTTATCAGTGGATATGCCAGGGCTCTTTCACTTCAGAGTTTCTATAACAAATCAGCCTGGGATCTCTGTGACATTACTGAAAGGTGAAAAATTTGTAGTGAGTAAGGTTAAAATAGGCAATATTGTAAACAGCTGAGGGAAAGGCAACCTTTCTTTTGGAAACTGTTGAATATACTTATATATAACATTGATGTCAGCATTTGTAAAAATATAGGACTGAAAAAGCCTCAATATTTTAGTGCTTACTAATAGGGCTTCTTCCAGTCTGGTTGATCTTGAGGGAACTTGGGTTTGCAGCTGCCATACCTGCACATCTATGAGAAGGTTGGCTTTTAGTGAGGAAAGGAAAATGGGCTCAGTACTGATTGTGTAATCCTGCCCTATATGCAGGAAATAAATGGAATTGTGGCTAATCCTTTTTACTTTTAGATAATACTGTCTCTTAAGACTGTGCATGCCAGCTGTAATTTTTAAAGCTTTTGGTGCTGGAGTTAAGCTAAGCTTCAGTGTGTTTTGGGAGCAAGTCCCAGTAGCTGTATACTAACCGTTCCATGTCCCTTTGCTGTTAGTGCAGGATTGAAACTTTTTAAGAGCAAAAGGAATACAGAGCTTCTGTGATGCTATGTTAGGTATATAATTCCTTGTCTTCTCAGAAAGGCTTATGAGTGAGCTTACACACTATTTGCTTTATTTGTTTTTAGATCCATACAGTTGCCTGTGAACTCGTACTATGATATTATTTCATATTAGTTTCTGCCTTAACTTCCACGTGGCCCCTACCGAGTTGAGCTGCTAAGTCGGCATTAGTGTTTGCATATATTGTTATTGACTTTAGGAAAATAGTTGGCAAACTGTTTTGGTCTTTGTTAAATTTTACTTTAAAGTCATAATGTTATCACTTTTAAACTAAGTACAAACAGTAGCTATACAATTAGCATGCAAGCTGTGTATAATGGCGTGGAGAATTTTTACACTGCAGTGCACATAATACAGGATATTAAGTGTTAGTATCAATATATTAAGCATTAGTACATGGAAAGTAAGATATTTTAATAAGAATTTGTGTGTGATGCATAAATAGTTTACTGTTGGAGTCTAGTTTACATTGCACAGTTATAAGGATAATAAAATGTATGTTATATGATGCGTAATACGGTAGTATGAAGCGCAGATGTCTGTAACTCTGTTACCTTTCTTATCCTTAGTTCCCAGGTTAAACAGTTACTAAACCAGCTTTTTTCCTTTCCAGTGTTATAAAGTCCTTTTGTGATGAATCCAACATTATTCTTGTTATTTTAGTGCAATAGCCCATGCAGATAATGCTGTTTGTGAACATTGGTCATAAACATAACCACTGTCACCATTGTACTTCATTTCCTCTCCAAGAAAAGACCTAGGTGTCATGCACTCAGAGTTGGCGTGTATGATTGATTTTAAATTGTACTGTCAGTTTCCAGACATTTTTTTTTTTTGCTAAATTTCACTTCTTTTTTATAGCTTGCTTTTCTCTCTTTTATTGCAGGTAGGATTGGGTATTCCCCTGAAAAGACCACAAGTTTGATCTCAAATCATGCCCATCTAGGATCTTGAGAATTAAAAGCAAGGACCATTAGGGTAAGAATTTGCTACAGACTACCTCCTTGTCTGTGGTTGGGAGTGGCACAGCTTGTTCAAAGTGATAGCCATGTGGTAGAGTTGTAGAAAGATGGGGTCTGTATTACTTTTCAGGTGATGCAGTGCAGCAGAGTAAATAAGTTTGTGTTTGTTTTTTTATTTGCTTTTTCTCTGGCTTCACCTCTTAGAATTTGGGATGAAGTAAAAAGGAATGTGGGGCTGGCTGGCTCCCTTTCCTCCCTGCAGAATATTGTTGCTGGTCTAGGGACTTGGGGAATATGGGAACAGCCTGAGTTGTTAACTTCTCATAGCCAATAACTTCTGGTTTAATTGTACTGCCCAGATGGTGGAGCTGATGCATCAGTGTAGTGCTAAGCTTTCTCAGGCTGGGGCTTCTCACAGTTTGAAATGTTGCTACTTTTTTTCCCCATGTCTAGCTCTTGGGATCTTCAGAATTTGCAAGGGGGCAACTTCTGTGAAGACTATGAATAAGTAAGCAGTAAGCAGAATAGAAGTATGTAGAAAATAAATGTAGTTTTTAATTGAAAATTTTTGATTGAAAAGTTGCTCGTGTCTACCACACTGGTAATTTCTCTTGCTCCAAAAATGAACAGTACATGACCAGTCCACATGGTTTTATTTTGTGCATGCAGGTCAGCTTCGGAGGTGGTTGTTGCTGGTTACATACAAGGCCAGTTTCAGATATACGCAAAAACAGATATGCCTTTGTGGCCCCAGTGATGGTGCAAGCCATGAAGTTGTGTTGCAGATGTGATGTGTGTTCAGTTTTGCTTTTACAGTGACTCATTTTGAAAGGTAAGTGGCTGAGACCCTCATGCAATGCATGGATGATGTCCAGATTGAAGCAAATAGTCAAACTGCACAGTGTTTGATGCCCTGCTGCTGCAGTTCAAAGTTGAGGATGCTGTGCAAATATAGCCCAACAGTCAAACTAGCTCAAGACCACTGGCAGCTCTCAGGCAAGCTTGTAGCCTTACAAACTTTCCCACAGGTTACAAACAAGTTTTCATGAAGGTATAATTTAACTCCAGGAGTTGCAGTTGGGTCTCCATGGGGAGTGTCTGGGTACCTATTGACATCCTTTATCTGCAGAGAGCAATCCAATGCTCCAGAAAAAGGCCATGAGCACTTGCCCTTTTTAGTTTCCAGGATACTGATCTGCCTGAATCTCCTGGTTTGCAGCACTGAACACAGCCCTGCTTTGGGGTTTCTTGAGTAGTCAAAGTGAAGCTTTGTGTTGCTCACCTACTTGCTCCTGAAAGAAGTGAGCTGGAGTGAGGAAAGACTGTCTGCATCCATACACATCAAAATCAACAGAGGGGCTTCCATGTTTACCTTAAACAACTCCTGTGCCCCCCGGAAAAACCCTCAGCAAAGTCATTTGGAGAAGCCCTCTGTCATGCTTCAGACTGTGGGATGAATCACTGCTTTCCACGCCTGACAAAGTGTGTTTTAGCGCATCTCCTGGAGGAACTCATTCCTTGAAACCCTTGCCTGAAGTCCCTCTGTGACCTGCTGCAGCCTGGCAAATGCACCTGACAAATGGCCAGCATGCCAGCTCACCCTGCTTTGCTCCTCCCCAGGAGATGCAAGGTCTAAGTGTTCACTACTTTCACTGTGGTGCTCCTTGTACCACCATGCTAGACTGGCTTTTTAAGTAGAATGAAAGGTTGGTATTCATATGCTTCAGGCTGAGGTTTTGGAGGTATTTGAACAGACAAAGCTTACAAGTGAGCTGTAAACTGGTTTGGGACAATGCTAATGCTTAGCTGTACTGGATGATTTACTACCATCAGACCTTCGTGATGCAGTCATCATCACTTTGTATAAGAAGAAAGGAGTTAAATCAGACTGTTCAAATTACCGTGGTATTACTCTGCTCTCCATTGCTGGCAAACTCCTGGCAAGAATACTTTTGAACAGATTAATACCCTCTATAGCAGAAGGAATTCCACCTGAAAGCCAATGTGGTTTCAGAGCCAACAGGAGTACCACAGACATGGTATTTGTTCTCAGACAACTGCAAGAGAAGTGTAGGGAACAGAATGAAGGTCTCTATGTAACCTTTGTTGATCTCACCAAGGCTTTCGATACTGTGAGCAGAAAAGGTCTTTGGCAGATTTTGGAACGTTTAGGATGTCCCCCCAGGTTCCTTAAAATGATCATCTCACTCCATGATGATCAGCGCGGCCAACTCAGATATGGCAATACACTTTCTGAGCCCTTTCTAATTACCAATGGTGTGAAACAAGGTTGCACTCTTGCACCAACCCTATTCACAGTCTTTTTCAGCATGATGCTCCAAAGGGCCACGGCAGACCTCGATGATCAGGATGGTATCTACATTCAATACTGTACTGATGGAAGCCTATTCTACCTAAGACGACTGAAGGCCCACACTAAGACCTTAAATCATCTTGTCTGGGAGCTGCTTTATGCTGATGACGCCGCCCTTGTTGCCCACACAGAAGCAGCCCTGCAGCGTTTAGCATCCTGCTTTGCAGACGCTCCTGAGCTCTTTGGGCTGGAAGTCAGCTTAAAGAAGACAGAAGTTCTCTATCAACCTGCACCTCAGGAAGTCTTCCATCATCCCCATATCACCATTGGCGAATCAGAGCTCAAATCAGTCCAGCAGTTTAATTACCTAGGTAGCCTCATCTCCTCGGATGGTAAGATTGATGGGGAGATAGACAACAGGTTAGCAAAGGCATATAGAGCTTTCGGAAAACTCCATAAAAGAGTATGGCGTAATAAACACTTGAAGAAAAGCACCAAAATCAGTGTTTACAAAGCCATTGTGCTGTCTACTCTCTTATATGGATCTGAATCATGGGTCATCTACCGCCACCACCTGTGACTCTTAGAATGCTTCCATCAACGCTGTCTCCGTACAATCCTGAACATCCACTGGTCAGATTATGTGACTAATACGTCTGTTCTAGAACAAGCAGCAGTCACAACTATTGAGGCCATGTTGCTGAGAACACAGCTGTGCTGGGCAGGACACGTCTCCAGGATGAAGGACCACTGCCTCCCTAAGATCTTGCTTTACGGTGAACTCGCCACTGGCTGCCGCAAGAGAGGAGCCCAAAGAGAAGATACAAGGATTCCCTGAAACAACATCTCAGCCTTGACCATATTGATCAACATAACTGGTCTACTCTGGCCTCAAATCGGGAGGCCTGGAGACACACCATCTATAACGCTGCTGATGCTTTTGAGAAAGCATGCAGGATCACTCTTGAGGAGAAAAGACAACGCAGAAAGAATCGTGCCTTGCAGAATATACCACCTAAGGAGTCTTTCTGCTGTGCCTTTTGCAATGGGGCATGTCTATCTCGTATTGGCCTTATTAGCCACCAGCGTGCTTGTAACAAATGTGGATAGAGCCTTTCCCAAATCTTCGTTTGCGAAGCCTAGCCATGACTGGATGATTTAGAGGCGTATTTTGTATGTCCCTCAAAGCACAGATTAGCCTGGGAGCTGGTGACCCAGGTTTCAGTTAGCAGCTCTCCCTCTGATAGTGGCTTGTCTACAGTGAAAGTAAATCTTGAAACGCTGGCAGTCAGTAGTGAAACTCTGGAGCATCCAGTCCCAACCGCATACTGAAGTGGGACAGATTCTTTGTGTTCTGGAGGTGGCTATACTTGCCATAAACCATAACTGGGCACTAGAGACTAGACTGGGAGAGAGATTTGCATGTGGCCTAATTAATCCCATCTGCCTGCACCTGAGGTGGAAGAAACAAAATTTTTGACTGTTCATGTACCCTACTCTGAAATTTACTGCCTGTGGATTTCAGCTCTTTTTATGATACTAAAAGGAGGGAGGTGACTGAATATTAGTGATGGCCTATGAGGAATATATGAATGACAGACTTTTCTAGAAGGCTCTAAAAGAGAAAAGCAGCCCTTAAACAGGACTGGGCTAATAAAATTTGTCAAGATGTCATCAACAAAACATCAAGGAGAAGGGGAAGAAAAATGGTGGGAACCTTGTGTAGCACCATGTAGTCTCTTGGAGTGCAGTCACAAAATGAAATACAAACTCTTGTAAGAAACAACTGACAAAGCTGAGATGGGAACAAACTAGGACAGGAATCCCATGAACTGGGTTGTTCATTATAGCCATCTTTCTTTCTCCTCTGTGCTTTGGGCTACTTATTCTTGCTGGAGGCTTTCTGGGTGGCTAGGAGGGGAGTGAGCATAAAGTGGTGAATCTTCTTGTCCTGACCCAAGAATAGGGCTGGTCACTTCTCTCCCTGTCCCCCTGACCTTTCCTGCTGTCAGGTTGCTTATTGTGAAAACTAAACTGGTTTGGGTTGAAAAAAGGTCCATTTATTGTTTTAAAGGATTTATCACTTGTAAGTCAAGTTTTGGTATGTGTTTAAGGTTATGAACATTGTAACTAGGTATGAAGTTTTACTTTTTCAGGCATAATATTTATTTAAAATTGTTTTGAGGCATTACTGCCAGCATTTGCTCATAGTAAAATAGTTGGAGAAAGAACAATTTTTTTAAATTTGAAATGCTGTCCATATTCCCTGGGTGAATGTGTTTCTCATTTTGTGCCTCATTTTTGTTCTTTATGTATGATTCTCCTAGCACTTGAAGCCTTAGTCAATCCTGCTGGGTTTTAACTGAATGCAACATTACCCAAAGCTCAACTCACTTTTACAAATAGTATTTTGTAATATGTTTTAAGTTGGATGTCCTGACTCCAGCTGCTGCAGCAGATGTTTTGTGCAGAGATGTGCTCTTTTTTGGTGTGCATAAAACAGTCTCATATTCTGAAAAAATTACTCTGCAAAATGCAAGTCCCTAATACAGAGTGGTGGTAATGACAGAAATATCTATCCGATAATTTAAGGATGCTTAGGGTTGTGTTGCGGTTTTTGTTAATCCATGGGGGAAATCACTCATTTTATTTTCCTTCTTTAGTGACATATTGAGCCCATTTATCAATGTAGAGAAATTTAGGTTGGAAGGGACTTTTGGTGTCATTTGGTCCAACCTCCCACACAAAGCATGTTTGACTAGATAGGTAAATTTTAACTTGTATCTAATTTGAATTTCCTGTTTCCCAATTTTTTGTCCATTGCCTCTTGTCCTCTTACTCTACACTTCTGAGAAGAGCCTGGCACCATCATCTCTGCACCCTCCAACTCACTGTAGACAGCACTAAAGTCTCCCTGGAGCCATCTCTTCTCCAAATCCTTAAGCTCTCATGCACAAATCCTTAAGCTCTCATGCATCCTGTGCTTCAGCTCCCTAACCATCCTCGTGGCCTTTCACTGGACTTGCCCCAGTGTACCTATGTTTTTCTATAATTAGGGATACCAACTGGTATATGGTTGGTATATGGTCTTCCCAGTGGTGAGTAGAGAAGAGTAAACACTTGTCCTGACCTGCTGGTACATTCCTGTTAATTCAGCCCAGTACACACTTGGTGGTCTTTGCCACAAGGCACACGGCTGACTCGTGTTCAGCTAGTTGTTCATTGCAGGTCCTTCTCTGCAGAGCTACTCCCCATCAGTCAACCTCCAGCCTGTACTGCTGTGTGGGGTTATTCCCTCCTGGATGCAGGACTTTGCATTTGCAGTGATGATCCTCATGAGGTTCCTGTTGCTCCCTTTCTCCAGCTTGTCCTGGTCTCTCTAAGCAGCAGTCTGCCTTCCAGCCTCTTGACCGTCCCCCACATAATTTGTGAACTTGGCACATGTCCACTCCATTTCAGCATAGTATCAGTCCCTGAGGGGTACTACTGACAACCGGCTGCCAGCTGGGCTTTGTATTGACAACACAATCCTTTGAGTCTGGCTAGATCTCCACTCAGATGTCTGTGGCAGCATTCATCCTAAGATGCAGAGGTTGGTGGTGTTTATTATGTATTATTTTTAAGCTATAAAATCTATATTCAATCAGAGGAACTTGGTTTTGATATTCTGTACACTTACACACATCTCTGTGGAGGTGAAAATAAGTTTTCTTCTTTCCACTGAAGAGAAGATCTGTGTTAACTGTTGGTTAGCCAGCTAAGACGGGTGAAGGAATGGGAGGGGATGTGATAGCCTTGTCTGGATGAGGCAGTGGCTGCTCCAGTAGATAAGAAAACATTCTTTATAAAACCAAAAGATGTGCTAGAAGTATGTAGTCTCTATTAACACAGTTCATATCCACAGATACATATTTATTGAGATGCAAGATGTCTGCCCTGAGGCTGACTTCTAATAGAACTTCCCACCAGGCCTCATCTAACTCTGATTACACCTGGGACTACGAGTACTATGAGTACGGACCAGTGTCATTTGAAGGCCTGAAGGCTCATAAATGTAAGTTCAGTAGAGACATATTTTATTGCAGCTGAGCTTCCTGTCTTAATGTTCCTACTCTTCATTTGTGACTGATTTTTGTACAAAAATATCTCTCTCCTAATTCTTAAGATTTTCTGCCATTAGAGGTATTACTCTATTTATTAGATTATTATAATTGTTTATTATTCTGTGTCCTTTTGTTGACTGTTTTTCTTGTGCATGAAAGAACCAAGGTTGTGGTAGAAATTTGTCAATACTAATACTGTCAGAAAAGTTTACAACAGCAGACACAGCCACTGCTGCTTCTGGTGACTAGTCGGTATGATCTGTGTTGCTTTGCTCTTGCTCCTTTTAGTGGTAAAAATGCAGTGGTGGACAGCCTTACTGCTTTTGTTTTTCTTCATAGAAAATAAATGTAAGGCTTTTATAAGATCTAAAATAAAAGAAGAATTTTCTCCCTCTGAGCAAACTTTTATCATTGGGACTTTACTCATGGGAGGAGTGTGCTAAATTCAGTGTTCTAATAATACTGTTTTACAGTAGAAGTAATAAGTGGACAATAGGGACCAGAGAGATGAAAAATATGGGTTGGAATTGGGAGAAAATTTAGCTAGGACAAGCTAGTCGAGCTAGACCAACATTTATCTAAAATCTAGACAATGGCTTTGGATTTTATGACTTATTTTTTTAGAGGAGATGGTTGTGGGGGGGAAAAACAAACAAAGAGGGGGGAAAAAGTAACAGAGACCAACTCAGAATTACCTGATGGTTTGCAAGCACTTCGTCAGAGAAACAAACAATCTTGTTTCTTTGTTTCTGATCTGGATACACTGTGAGAGGGTTTGAGCATCAGTCTTCAAAGTATTGGGAAAGGGTCTCTTCAGTGCTGGAGCACTGCTCCAGAGTGGGATACATACTTTCTGTCTCATTTGTCACAATGAGCCATTCCTGATACGAAAAAGTAGTGCCTGCAGTGGCAAACAGCAGCACAGAAAGGCTGATCTCCCTTGGCTACCTAGGCACAGTTATGAGGTTTTGGGGAGGCTCTTCAAGGGGCAGAAGAAACTTGTTAAAGTTATTAACGCTAAAAAAAAGAAAAAAAAAAGTAGAATTTGGTTTTTAGTCTGAATTGTACTTAACCTTTTTTTTCTTTCTGAAAAAAAGTCTGCTGGTTAGTGCCTGTATTTTTACAAATGAGCAGTACCTGAAAAACTTAGGTTAGCTTTTGTCATGTTTCTAAATTATCTTCCATACTTCCACTTAATCAGAGGCCAAGCCTGATTGCAAATATTACCAATTGCAAAGATTAGCTGCAGTGTTAGGTACCTACCTTCTTTTTAGCTCAGTGTGTCAAACAGCATGATGGGAGAAAAAATATAAATGATAGTTGTCTCTGGATTGTGGAAGGCATAGCTGCAAATCAGATCTTGGATTGCCATTGAAGTGATTGCCATACTAAGCGTGGCAGCTCAGCTTCCTTGTCTGGCTGTGTTGTTCACAGAGCAGGAACATTCTGGACAGCTCTTACTAGAGAACAGGACAGAAGTAACAACTGCTTTTCAGGTGGAGCTTGATGAAAGATATCGTTAGTAGTACTGAATCAGTGACCTAGGAAATCCCTTCTGGTTGGTTTTTTTTGGTGGTTTTCTTTTGTTTCTGTTTTTTAGTTTTGTTTGTGTGTTTGTTTTAACTGATAGGTTGGAGTTGGCTCTGTTACCTTCAGTGTTACTGCATGCATTCCTCTGAGGGCAGAGTTTAATCTAGTAAAGGAACAGTCTATGTCTGTGTTGTGTATGAGATGATATTTCTTAACATGGTATGTTCTTGGAATGTGTCTTGTTCTGGCTATTAGCAGCTGAGTTGAGACTGTTGTGAAATATGGAGGTGATGTGATCAGACATGAAATTCTCTGAAATCCTAAGACGAGGAGGAAGGAGGGGAGGAGATTACACAGGGTTGTATTAGGAGGGACCCCTTGGATATTTACAAATAAGAGATGTTAATGAATGCCTGTAACTTTTATGTCAGAGATCTCAATGGGAAATGGACTCCAGTCTAGGTGAGGAGGCTGGCAGTAACACTTGACCAGCTGTAAAACATCACCGGCTCTTCTTAAAGATAGAGGTGTATGATTTTTTCTTATTATTACTTCTTTATTTGATATACACTGTCTTCCACCCAAAATGAGAGGGCACTGTTTTCAACCATAACATAGGAGGAATTCTACAAGAGAAGGCTGGAGGACACTTTTGGATTAATGTTGATTTAATTAACTGTAGGCATGGAGAGGTTGCTAATATTTGATGTATATATAAAGGAACTCAGAAGACTGTTTCTGAAAGCAGAGAAAAATTTATTCAAAGTGACCTGTGAGGAAAAGGATTGACAAAACAATCTAATACACAAAAATACATTTCTTAAAAAAAGTGGAGGTGGGAAGAAGATGAGGTATTCAAATGCCACAGTGACTTTTCAAATATATGACTGGAAAGAAAAAAAAACCAACCAAAAAGGATGTTCTGTCTGAGAAGGATTGAAAGCAGGAACTAGAAATCAGAAAATCTACAAAAGTAGGGACCAGATGTTTTGTAAATTAAAGCTTTATAAAGTAAATAGACAAAGATATCCAAGAAATACTTGTGACTGGCAGAGAAAAGAACAAAATCCTTTTTTGTGCCTTTGAAACAGAGACAACCTCAGAAACATTGGAGAGGTAAGATAGGTAGGAATGATCAGGGCAGCCAGATCTGCTGTCAGGATGAGTCTATTATAAAGAAAAGGAAGGTTGAAAATGCAACTTGAGAAAGTCATGGTATACTTTTACAATCTGTTCGTAACTTAGGGCAGTATTAAAAATGTAAGTGCCTCATGCCATATTTTTTGAACAGAAGTTGTGTTATGTACTGTTTATTTTGAGTAAGTGTTTAGAAGTTAGAAGATTTGGATAATTTGCACTTGAGCAAGACCTAAATGAAATACTGAAGAGAACTCAGGCCACCTCCTTGTATTTTAAACAAATCCAAATAATGTAACTGATACAGCAGAGGGTTGGAAGTGTGTCAGGAGGCACAATTAAGCAAGGCAGATGTAGCTTTATGCTCAGTAAATTTAGGAATTCCTTTGTGGAGGAGGAACAACAAACAAACCACAAGACAGGCTTGTTATTCATCACATAATGCTGGTGAGTGTGAGTTTTTTGGGGAGTAGTTTATCAGAATTTTTTTTTTAAATTCCCCCTGCCCCCTTAGTTAATGGATTAAGTTTTGCAGCTCAATCAATGTAATCTACGTGTGTATTTTTTAGTCATCTTGATCACACTTTATATTCTGGTTATCAATGCAGTTGCATATAATTCAAGCATGTCTGACTAATTGGTCATTACTAGTAGCTGTAAATGGTTAAGTGGTAAATTTTTTAATGGGAGTATTTCTTTTTAGATGAAATTTTCAGGTATTACAAAGTCCAGCAGGATGGTAGATAATCATGAGCTATTTTCTATTAGTAAGGTCCAACACAAGGTGCATCTTGAACCACTGCATACAGGCTATACTTACAGAATGGTTCTGAAAGGAAAGTAGGGCACACAATTAACAGAAATAAACTCATTCCAGTATACTTTAAGCAAAAAGGGGTATTACAAACTCCTCTCCCCCATCATGGAGACCTATACTTGCACCGCCTTCTAGTTATTTTACACAGGGTGTTGAGAGGGGAAGATGTGGCATAGGAGAGATGGAATAAACATTGCAGTGGGAGTCTTGAAACTTAACCTCCTTACTTTACTAGAGAAAGGAATTAAGGAGCGACTTGATTTTCTCAGGGAGAAAATCTCAGGTTGCAGCAGGCATTTTGACTTCGCAGGGAAAGAACAAATGATTTGAGTTGATTTCCAATTTTCACATATGCCTTTTAGCATGGAAGATATTTCACAGTGGGAGTGTGATTAACAGCTAGGGTCAAGTGCCAGGCAGGATAGCTGATTCCTTGGGTTTTTGTTCTCTTTAATTAGTGCTGTAGGAAATTCAACAGTTCTGTGCTGTGCCTGCTGCACTGGGTCAGACAGATCATCATGTAGTTTTACAGCCAGTGAGGATCTCTGAGGTTTGGTAGTGGCTGTGTAATGAGGGGTTAAGGGTAGAAAGGATTCCTGTCCTGACCAAGACTTCCTTCTTGCATGTTTGTGTGTTAATTGTTTTGAACTTCTACGGTGGAAGTTTTGAAAACTTGCATAAACAAAAAATAACTAACTGATAGTTCAAAAGTAGCTGGTCATATTTTGTGTTGGTGTTCTGCATCTTTCGTCCTTGATTATCAGTTGATTGTTGTCTGGAGATATGTTTGTCCCACTTGGACCTCTCTAAATCAAGCTCCTGGAAACTTTGAACTTCCCTCAGGAGCAATTGTGGATCGGCTTTTGTTATAGTTTTATACTTTTTTATTTTTCCTAGTGAAATTTCCCATACCAACAGTCTCTTGCTAGTAGGCTTAGACTTCATTGTTTGTCTAGCTCGGGCCTTAATGCCAAATAACCTCGGGACACCACATAAATTGCGTGAGGGAAACTCCATTCCCCCTGCAGCCACAGCTGGGGGGGGTGGGCGGAGGGGAACATTAGGCAGTGAGCCTTTTAGACTGGGGGAGGGGGAGAGGGAAACCGGAGTTTTTGTTGGTTTTTTTTTCGTCTGCGGACTGCGAGCACTGCCTGGGCGCCCTTGGGAGCTGCCGAGGCCCAGAGGAGCTCCTGTTCGTCCCCTGGTGAGAGTCCCTGGGGTGCCTGCTGTAGAGGGCGTCTCACACCACTCTGTTGTCACAGGGGCTGCCACTGCCTTGTGCGGTTTTTCTTTGGTTTCCCTGCTCTTCGTTGGACGGACCAGCACCTCCGTCCCTCGTCAGCCGCTGCGTCCATGGCTGAGGGGTGGGGCCCGGGGCCCGGGCTCGGCGTGGAGTGTCTGGAGCGAGCATTTTTTCGAAGACGGGTTGCCTGTAGCTGGCACCATCCGCGGAGGAGCTTCCAACCGACTCCCTCTGGGATACAGCAAGATAGTCCTTGGGGGGCGGGGGGGGGGGACACGGACGGACGGACTCATCTTGGAGTCTCACAGCACGTCTGGAGCCCCCACGCGGGGCTCGTCTGGAGGTCGGCCCCGCTCCCCTGGCCCTCCCTTCGCCGATCCCCCCCTCCTTAGCAAACACTTTCGTGTCGTTAAACTGAGACAACTTTGAAGTCATAAGTGGACATAGATTTGTTTTAAGTAGGACTGGCAAATTTTTCTATGGTCCATTTGCTACAAATGAGAACATTAGGTACATTTTATGCACACAGGCAAAAAGCCATGCTCTTGCCAATGACTTCTGTATTTGGCTGTTGCATTGGTGTTTTCCTTTTGATTAACTGATGGTTTGACTTTTTTGTCCAGATCCATTTGGCTCCTCTGACATTGTATTGCAGTTTTCTGCACTCAAGTTGGAAACTCAAATTAAAAATTATCCAAAAATATCGTTTATATGTTGATTATTGATATTTGTTGAAGTTGCAAATAGTTTTTTCTGTGGTTCTGTTTATTTCAAAACCCTCTGTCTTGCCACTAAAAGAAACTGTGTCAAAGAAATACATTAAAGCTCAGAAACCTAATGGTCTGGGGCAGAAATAATTTAAAATAGCAGTTCAGTTCTACAAAGACAAAGGATTTTGCTGCAAATCAGATAAACCTCTCTTCTGAGTTCTAGCACTGAAGTTATTTCCAAAGCACAATGCTTGGAAATGGGCCAGGCATCACAAAGGTAGCTGCTCTTATTTTATTAACCAAGGGAAATAAGCATCTTCCCTCTTTTATCTTCTTTCTAGTTTGTCTACATATCAGTAAAATTCAGGCTAGAAATGAGAATTTCAATGGCAACTTTCTGTTTAAACATAGGTAATGATAAATTTGATCATTCTTCCTCTTTGCTGCCCAGGAATAAGCTGCAAATTATTTTGGATTTGTAGTCATGGTGTATGTGGAAGGCAGCTTTCTGCAAGTGCAGGTAAAATACTGATCATCTTGTTTTCTCTTTTTTCACCAGATTCCATTGTGATTGGATTTTGGGTTGGTCTTGCAGTTTTTGTCATCTTCATGTTTTTTGTCCTGACCCTGCTGACGAAGACAGGAGCACCTCATCAAGAGTGAGTTTGAAAATGGGAATAAGAAATCCAGCCTACTAAGTGGCACATCTGGTCTCTTGCAGCCCCCAAACAGGCAGTGACAATGCTGACATTGTACTGGCTCAGCACGGTCTTGTTCTAGTCCGTTCTTATGAATCAGTGCAGTCTATCTTCATTTCAAACAATCTTAGCATAGTCATGCTAAAAAGAAGTTGGTGGGTAGGCTGCCAAACAGGTACAGGTGCTTTTAGATTACTGTTCTGCACATAAATGGTGAGCTCTAGGTGAGCTCAAGTTATCTTGGAGTGGAAGTGTGAGTATTGATGGAGTATATACAAATAAAATGCAGTGCAGATGTTAAATGAAGGAAGCTGAAATCTGGCAGGTTTCCACATGCTTGTGTGTTCAAATCTAAAAGGTAGACATCAGTAGTCTGTACAAAATCTTCCTTTAACCCCCGAGGTCTCAGAGTGTCTTAGTTTCTGCTGAGAAATTCCAGTGGATGCTGAAGTACAGATCAGCTCCATGTTTGTTAAAGCCAGGGTGCCTTGAAAGTCCTTTATTTCTTATTCTTTCTGGCTGATAATTATGTGCCTTGCCTCAATGATTTATCTGCATTTGCACAGCACCCAGGCTGCCATTGTTCCTTCGCACAAGAAAGTTTGAAGCCACATCTCCTCTCAGACTTGTGTGCCATAAAGTAGAAATAAAAAGCCTCTCTGGAGCGTGAGAACACTTGCAGACAGGTAGCAATGATGAGAAGCTGATTGTGAAAGGCAATTGATAGTGCTTATTGCTTCTTAAAGCAGCCTATCTCTGCCTACTGGAGGCCCTTTGCTATTTAATCATATGTAGACTGGCTCTGAAACTTCACGTAATAGCTCATCTCTAAAGACAGGGCCACATTAGAGAGGGCATATGGATATTGTGAGCTTCTTCTGTGCTCCTGAAGTTTTGTTTCTGTGAGAAAATAGAGGCAGAAGAATTCAGCTTACCAGATCCGACTTGTTGGTATCTTTGTTTCCCTTACAGACTGTTATAGAGCAGACAAACCTTGCTCCCAAACAAATTCAAAGTCCTTGTAAGTGTTGGTGTGCTGCCCCTTTCCCCTAAAGACCTTGTTAATTAGCTGAGCATCTGAATCTGTATCCCATGTGAATAATTTGAGAGGGGAAGAAGTAATCAAGTCTAATATACAACAGAGAGAATTTAATATGAATATTTGTAAAAATTTTTACACTTGTAAAAATGTACTTTTAGGTAGCAGAGGCCTGCTTGGTATCTCCCACTGTTTTTCTATATTTTTCATCAATTTTCTTGAACGGGTTGTCTAGAGAGTTTGTAAAACCTCCATCTCTGGTCAGCTTCTACATCCAGATAAACTGATCTCAAGTCAGGGTTGGCCTTGCCTTCGTCATCAGTCTAGAGACCTCCAGAAGTCCCCTCCTTTCTAAACCTTAATTTAATTTTTTTCGGTTTCTGAAGCAAGCCCAATTATTCCTTTCTGTATTTGCTTTAAACCTCTTTGCAGCTTTGGGATCTGTGTGCTTGAGTGCTTGCCCACTTACTAGGTATGCTGAGTTGGCACTCAACAAATCTGAGCACTATTTTTTTGATGTTTGATAATGAAATGTGTGTGGTATTGAACACGGATCATCCAGGAATACACTAAGTGCAGGGAATCCTTGTGTCCTCTTATTTCTGATACATGTATATAAAAACTGGACAACACCTACCTGTAAAACCAGCGCAGAGTGTGATTTTAGCTTGCCTGCATCTTCTATTTTTACACCTGACTGGATTCTTCATGACTTGGCATTTCATTAGCGGGCTGTCTTGCAGCCCTCCTTTAGATAGATGTTAATGGGATTCCTGGGTCTTGGGAGAAAGCCAGCTTGATTGATGGATGTGTCTCTGACTTCAGCAAGGCTATTTGGCTGTTCTTTAAAGTACCATTAATGTGAGAGATAAGTGTAACTGGGCTCAGATGGATGGATCCGAGGTAGAATACTCTGATTTTTCTATCAGAGTAATATGCTTTTCTTGGCTTAATATAAAGGGGCATGATAGGATGTACTTTCCAGAATTATAAAAGATGTTCAGAATTGGATACATTCTCAGACCAGAAGGGTCAGGATTTCAATGGGGAGAGGCAGAAATTTAATCCGTTGTGGAAATTTTGTCTGTTGCAATTCTCTTTTGTTTGCCTGCATATTAGGATATGTAGAAGATTTGCTTGTGCAACAAAAAAATTTTGTTGAAAATCTTACTGAATTTCTGTCTGAAAAATGCTCTCATTCATCACTCAGGAGAAGCTAGTATGCTTTCTTTGCTTCTGCATGTGAAAATGTCCTTAAAAATACATTTGTGCCATAAATGCAAGAGTTTGTGTAACTTATCTGCAAAAAATACTGGCTGGTGTAATCTCAAAGCTTCGTGCAGCAATTTAGGCAAGTTGTACCACTACTTGCAGTAAAAAAATGACAGAGATTTTTTTTTCCCAAGAAATCAGTTGGTTTTGGCTAAGGATTCTAAGGTGAAACCCAGGCAGAGAAATGCAGACTCATTGAAACAAAAACTTCTACAGATATATGTATGTTTTTGCTGAATACTTATTCAGGGAGATTTCTCAGGTTCAGGGTAGCACTTCAGGATTGCTACTAAGGATATGTTCAGATGCCCAAGTTCCCCTTAGGATACCAAACCCTACTGTTTTGGAGGATTGGCTCCTTATTCCTTTCCATCGTTTGCCAAGTACCCCTTGTACCCCAAGTACCTCACTTCAGAGACTGTTGAGAGAAGGGATATTTAAGCTATAGAGGAATCTCAAATGTCAATCTAGTTAGAATGATATACTGGGCAAAATGGTCTGTACCCTGACAGCGCACTCACGTCCAGTGGGCAGAGTCGAGAGCTTAATGTTGAGTCCAGCAGACCAGAACCCAGCATCATAGGCTGGAAGATTCCCATAAAAGGGAGGTTGGGTAGGTTCACTGGCAACTGCTTGTTTTGAGTGGTTTTCAGTATGTATGTTGCTCAAGGTGTCTGTCATTCACCTTTCTGCTTTCTTGTTGGCAACTTTTGGAACTGTTGTGTTGGCTCAAATATTGCAAAAGGAATTTGATTGTTCAGATGGCTGTGCTCCCTTCCACAGTAAAACTAGGATTTCTGAGGCTGCTTTTCTTATTTTAGGTGTTCTGAAAAGGTATCTGCTGAAGTGTTCTTGCATATTGTAATAAGCAGGACTGTGCAAGTTTCTAGTCTAGTTTAAAAAAATTCCTCTCCAAAATACCGAGATGGTGCTTGTGAATTTCAGAATCCAAAAATATCACTGTATATTAGACCACATGTTCCCTGCTCATGAACACAGGATTATTCCTTATACTATGTCCTCAGCATTCTGGGTCATTGTAAAATTTATTGACATCTTCTATTCTTCCATTTAGATTAGGTTGCTGTTGCCAGTCTTGTGTGCCCCTCTGCACTGTCAGCCTTTGCTCCTTCATAGCTCACTGGATTATAAAGCACTTTCTGCACCTATGAAGAAATTTTACTTCTCTAGTGGATGCATTTTAAGCTTTCTTCTGCAGTCACTTCTTCCTAGGCTTACAGTGCTTGTTCTTCTTTCTGTGCTTATTTGCCACCTCCCCTGTTCGTGCCACAGTACTGCATAGAAACTCTTGGGACAGATTTGCAAAACTATGTGGGAGACATATAGTGGTGCTTTTTATTGCATTACAAAGATATAAATGTCAGTTGTCAGTTCTGAAGGCTACCACAAAATTATTCCAGTCTGTTTGCATCCTGGCGTGTATACAGTAGATTATTAGTTACTGGTCTGTCTTGCATCAGTTTAAATGTTCTTCCTCTACATGCTTCACTTTGACATGCAGAATGAGCCAATACAGTTTTGACAAACTAGAGAACTGCTTTGATTTGAAGGCTAGTGGAAGTGATTTTGTTAGGACAGGATTCTATCATCTAATGGAAGTAAATTAGCATTTAAGAAGCATAGATCTTTAAGGTTAACTATGCCTGAAAGACTAATGGTAGGCATTCTGTGAACTCGAAGGTTTTAAGGGTAGATTTCTGAAGGTGTCATCTGAGGCTTTCAAAAGCATGTAGGCACTTATCTCTTACTGCAGGCTTGAGAGAATTAAATTAAGCATTTTTCTGAAAAACTCTTAAGTGCTGGGTGCATCTTTAGGTGTCCAATTATCTGACTCCAGTGTCATTTGCTACATGTTCAGATGTAAACAGTATGTTTTTTAACAAATTTTGTATTCTGAGAATATGTTTAGATTTTCATTGCTCATCCTCTGAATACCTCTACTGCATTTCAGATGCAAATAACTTGCATTTTGTGATTATAACATATAAATTCACCCTGAAAAAGAATGTATTACTATCTGTATAACTTCCATCTAGCTTGAGCTTTTCTCACCCCCACGTGTTTATGGCTCCTGCAAAGTCCGTGCAGATTGGTGCTGATTTGAGCTAAGATTTATACAGAAAACTCCAAAGAAATATGTTTAACTGTCCTTCCTGGGCTGTGTGCCTGAATTGTTAAGACTGTCAGTCTTTGGAGCAGTCTTTAGTTCCAGCCCTTCTAATTTGTAAATCTGAATGTCATCAATTGAAGTCAGGGGAAAAGATGGTTTGATGTCTGGACAACCAAGTACTCAAGCTATGCCTTAGTGAGAGCAGTGCTGCCTGTGCCTCAGAAAGATTTTATCTGTCAAGGATTTTCTTCTCAAAGTGTTCTTATAAGCCATTTAAAAAAATGTTAGTACTTGATACTACTTGATATCAAGAGGAAATCCTGAAGAGTATTTCTAAGCTCATTCAGTGAGGTGATTATGACAGTATATTGGTTACTGGAAGTGCCATTTAAGAGTGCTGGCATTAACTTATTGCCATGGAAAATTATCATGACAAATCAAGACTTAAAATAGCTTCAGCAGAAAATAATCAATATTGCTGGCTTTAAAAGTTTGTGGTAGATAAACCATAGGGTTTCCTTTCTTCCTGATCATAGTGATTGTTGAAACCACCAAATTTGCTGATAAGGACTCAAATAGTTCTACTTTCGTGTTTACTGTATTTTTCTTTTTCCTCCCTAGCAATGCAGAGCCTTCTGAAAAAAGATTTCGCATGAATAGCTTTGTGGCAGATTTTGGAAGACCTCTGGAGTCTGAGAGGGTCTTTTCTCATCAAATGGCTGAAGAATCCCAGTCACTTTTCCATTTCTGTATTAATGAAGTGGAACATACGAACAAAGGAAAAGAGAGTCAGAAAGGTCCAGGTCTGGAGAGTAATATCCACTTCCAGGAGGTTCCCAGAAGCAGTGGAGTGTTTGAGGAAGACCTACATTGTCTTCCAAAATTTAACATTCCTAACTTTGTGAACACTGAGCAGAACTCTTCATTAGGTGAGGATGATCTCCTCATCTCAGAGCCACCAATCATTTTAGAAAGCAAATTGGTCATGCAATCTTCCCATCGGATCCTTGACTGAAAAAATCTTTTATGTTAACGTAAAAGATTGTCCAGTTGGAACCCTTTCTTGGCCTTCTGCTATTTTGACAGAATGTATTTCAGACCTGTGCTTTTTATTGTACATAAGACTGCCTGTGCTACTAGAACTCAGTTTAGACAAGAAGTAAAACACTAAATGCTTTATTATGATGTTTTTTGTGGTCTAAACTTTTTACCCAGCCAGCGTTATTTTTGCTTTGTGATTTTTTTTTGTTTCTTGTTTTGTTCTTTGATTTTAAAGGACTGCTTATGACCAGCTTCTGAAGGATCCCGTAACAATTTATGAGGACTGTGAAGGCTGGAGCCTGGTACTGGGAAGTGTATGAAAATTCCTTGGCCAAGAAAAGTGTAAATCTCAAAGTGAGACTGAAGTAAGGAATAAACAGGCAGCCCCTGGGGAGGTTCTGTAGCTTCTGCTACTTCCAGTAACGATGCCTGAAGCTAAGCAGCACAATAAATATCTGCTTGGGATTAACTTCAATTTCTGATTCCTAACTGTTTTTGGTGTAGGTCAAAGCCAATTTACAAAGCTTCCAGAGGGAATACCTTGCAAATTAAATTGTTTGGCTACAGTGTTTACAAAATGCCATCACCACATGGTGCTGACTAAAAGCAAATTAGTGCCTGTACTTATAGTACTTCAGAGTGACATTCTAACAGCTGCCCAGTGATGATGAGGAATTAGTATTCTACACACAAACACAGACCGTGATTTGACTCTTTTTTTTTAAATTGCTGATGTGAACTTCCAGTTCAGTAAGTGTAGGATTCAGTAGATAAATCACAGGAAATAAGAAAAAAACTATTTTTCTTTTGGCAGTGCAGTTACTACATTCAAATGTAACATTAAGCTGGTGTTATGTGTTGCTTATAGGCTGAACCTTCCTACACTTTTTGGCTTTATAATCAGCCCTTTCTTTATTCATGGGCCATGGAAGGGCTAGCAAGCTTTGGATTGTTGAGAGCACCAGCTCCAAATGTGAAGCTAAGCTCTGCTTGCTCCATCTTCTTTTTATACTCAATTGGGATGGTGTTGCAACCTCAGCTACTCTCACAATTAAAGGTTTGTCAAGGAATTGAATAAGTGTAGTTTCAACCTTTATTTTTTAGAGACAGAATAAGGTTCTGAACCTTAGAGAGTACTTAAATTATATTTCAGCTTTCCTCAAAAGATGGTAATTAATGACCAAATGGTTTTAGAGCAAGCACAGAGGATACAGAGGCATCAGGTTGAAATCTTTTACTTGATTTGGAGTATGCTCTGCAGGAAATTCTTAATTGAAATGAAAATAAGTGGATGCCAGATACTGTGTCTGGTTTTTTTGTTGTTTTTTTTTTTTTTTCTGAAACTGACCTACTTTGTATACAACATGTCTGTGTCAGAGCGAAAATGTAGTAGTGGCCTGCTGATACATTCTCCAGACACTTAAATGCTGATTAATTCATTCTTCCTTCACCTTACAGATAGGAAAAATAGCGAATGGATTAGCCAGAATGCTGCCACCCTTTATTCAAAGCCTTTTACTTTTTAAAAGACAAATGTAGCTTAAATCACCTTCCTTAGCGATTAATGCCATGTCCAGAAAAAACAGACCAAGCCTGTATTTGTTATGTTAAGAGCTGTTAAATCCCTCTTCCAGTGAGAAAAAGACAGCACTGTAGAGAGCTATTGTGCTGTCCACTCTTTTATATGGTTCCCAATCATGGGTCATCTACCGCCACCACCTGTGTCTCTTTGAACGCTTCCATCAACGCTGCCTCGGTACAATCCTTAACATCCACTGGTCAGATTATGTGACCAATACGTCTGTTCTAGAACAGGCAGCAGTCACAACTATTGAGGCCATGTTGCTGAGAACACAGCTGCGTTGGGCAGGACACGTCTCCAGGATGAAGGACCACCGCCTGCCGCATGAGAGGAGCCCCGAAGAAAAGATACAAGGACTCCCTGAAACAACATCTCAGCCTTGGCCATATTGATCAACATAACTGGTCTACTCTGGCCTCAAATCGGGAGGCCTGGAAACACACCATCTATAACGCTGCTGCTTCCTTTGAGAACGCATGCAGGATCACTCTCGAGGAGAAAAGACAATGCAGAAAGAACCGTGTCTTGCAGAATATACCACCTAAGGAGTCTTTCTGCTGTGCCTTTTGCAATGGGGCATGTCTATCTCGTATTGGCCTTATTAGCCACCAGTGTGCTTGTAACAAATGTGGATAGAGCTTTTCCCAAATCTTTGTTCGTGAAGCCTAACGATGAAAAAAGTGCAGGAAACATATTTGGTTTTTATCTTCTGTGCCCTTGTTATAAACCAGTTATTGCTAAATTTCCTGTTTTCAAATGTAATTCTTACACCACTTGCTAGTTGTTTAAAGTAATGGGATTATACTTAAAACAAAGCAGAGACTGTTTTAAACTAGCAGATTTTTGTTGAAAATATTCCAGGAGAAGACTGAAGTGAACCCTGTTCTAAAGGAGCATGGCTCCATGGGCTGCAGATCTCCAGTAAAACGTTTGAAGTGCAGAAAAGGCCTTCTTTCACAGGAAGTACTTAACTACAAGTTTGAAGGCTGTAGCTGTGGACTTTTCCCAAATTAAGAAATTTGGGAAATCTGCCTCCCAATGTGGCAACTACTTCCTGCTGAGGCACCTCAAATAACTGCTAGCTATCTGAACTGAAGCTCAACATTGTTCTTGTTAACAAGTTCTGGGACTTTTACTAAGCATGGCTTTTATAGCCTATTTCTGAATTAGTGAGCTGCCTTCAGTAATGTTCGAGCCATTCTTCCTAATTTTTTTCTTCCTTTGCCATGCTTGAAAGCAGAAATGCTGCTTAAAGGAGAGAAAAATCTATGTAGAGTTCCTCTCTTCTGCAATCAAGAAATGAAGGGTTTTTTAAAAGCATTTAAAACTCTGTTTCCTAGAACCATTTAGGTTGGAAAAAGATCTTTCTGAGTCCAACCATTAACTCAGCACTGCCACAACTAAACCATGTCCCCAAGTGCCACATCTACATGTCTTTTTAAATCCTCCAGGGATGGTGACTCCACCACTTCCCCGAGCAAGCCTGTTCCAGTGCTTGACAAGCCTTTTGGGGAAGAAATCTTAAAAGTTTCAGATGTTTCAAAAAATGCAGGTCTGATTTTAGAAAAAGAAAATGCTGCCATTCCCAATAGGCTAGCCTAAGTTTTTCTTCTGCTACCTTAAACCTTTGTGGCTTTTCTTTGGTTGTATAACTGCTACTTCGGGGAGAAAAGGGGGAAGCATTTTATGTATGGATGCTGGTGACAATGCCTAGATGAAAGGTATTTAATAAAATGAGAAAGAGATAATGTCAACTAACAAACATTTGAATTGTATTCTAAGTGTCCTTCTGAAGCGTGTATTAATCCTGTAAAGCTATTTAAGTGTTTGGTTCCTGCCTCTGTTATTCCCTGATGATGGTTATACTTTTTCCACCTTATTTCCCTTCTATTTTTAAAGTCCTCCATGCTGCTTTTTACAGAAAAGCAACCTTGCAGTCCCCACTGCAAAGCTCTCACACCACTTCAGAGACACAGTGCCAGCAACACAGTCTGATTCAGTTTTTTGTTCTGCCTCTGCATTAGAGTCAAAGGCAAATGCAGAAACGTTCTGCAGTCTTCAAAAGCAGTTATTTTAAAGCTTTCTTTCTTTTCTTTTTCCTTTTTAGGAACTAACAGATATTTTGCCTCAGGGGAAAGGGCAATATATAACATGTTTAAAAAAATTCGTCGTTATCCAGAAAACCAATAAGTGCATTCGTTATGAAGTGAATAGAAAGTGTTCTGACCAGAGTAATCCTTCAAAATAAATAGTTGGAATTTAGTGGTGTTTGAAAATGGAATTTTTGTGAGTTTTTGTATTGCTTGGCCTCAAGCCTCTTCTCAAAACTCACTAGAAAAGCATCACCTGCAGTAGATTTAACTGAAGAGATAGACAACTCCTCTAAGATAACTACATGCATAAACATGTCTTGTATTCTGTAAGAACTTACTCGGTTGAGTTATTTATTCCAGTTTTCAAAGGTGAACACTTGCAAAATGTTCTTCTGTGTAAACAAATTTTAGCTGTGTACCTTTTTTTAAAAAAAAACCCCAAAACCTAAAATGCAAAATCAGAAAATGCCTGCTCAATAGAGAAAAGAAAGGGAAAGGTAAAACTGTGAACTTCTCTACTAAAATGTAGTGCTATACAGTAGTTGAGACTAAAAGGTGAAGTAAATGATGTGTGTTTGTCATGCAGTTAAGTATTTATTCACCTGAGGTCTAGATCTTGAATACTATAACACATTTTTTGCCACTTTTTAGCCTCAGGTATGGCAGATATGGGCGCTGAAGAAATGAGGCTGCACACAGAGGATTCGATTTCGGAATTTCTCCACAAATCTCTCTGCATTCCCCTTTTATTAACCTCTTCAGGTAAACAGAGCCTGCTGTTGCCATTCAGTTAACTAGAATTCCCAGGACTTTTTGCAAACTCAGTGTTTTGATTCACACACTCCCTCTCAGCTCCAAGGCCGAAACACTCCCTTTTGATTCCAATTAACTGAATGAAGATGCATCTGACTTGGCTTGTTCCCACATTGGGTAGTGACAGGTAGCAAGGCAGAACCTTCTACAACACATTCTCCAACAAGAGCAAGAGTTGGAGGCATGTGCTTTCTTGTTTTTGGACAAGAGGTATGTGGTTAGCTGTATGAAAGGCTAATTATAATTCAAAGTTATCATGGAACTTTCTGTTCAAAAGAGTCAGGGCAGCACTTGATGCAAGGTCCTCCCCTCCCTGCAGAAGTGGATTTGCACAGCTAGTGCTAGTATACCCATTATTTATCCTTATATTTTCCAAAATAGGTGAAATATGGGATAGAGTGGCTGACTTCAAAATGTATTATGTGCTATCAAATAAAGTCTTCATACGTGATAACCTCTTTAATTTGCTACATGAACAATTTTGACGTATTTCAGAGAACCTGAAATGGAACACATTGGTGCTGTCTCTGCCCCAAGTGCCATGATGAGATCTGATCCTTTTCTGCACATCTCTTGAAGCAATGCATTCTCTGTAATCTAGGTCACTGAGTCACCTAGCCAGCTGCTCACTCGATTTCTTAAAAGCTTCAAACATGACAATTCAAATTATTATACTCCACCTGCTTTGCTGTAAACAGACGAATTCCAGCTAAGCATTAGACAATGATTTAAAGACATTATGTTTGATTCTTTTAATCCATCCATCATGCTGCCTCCTGGAAATGCATGATGAAATAGGACAGCACAAGAAGAAGAAAAACATACATAAGGAGTATAGAATTATGTAACTCCTGGAACGATCTTGCTGAAATAATTAGTAAAAGCTAATGACTTGTTTTGTCAGCCTTTGCGCAATTTCAGGGTGTTTTCCCCCTTCTGTACTATGAAGACTGCTGGAGAGTAAATAACTAATAACTTTAGCAGAGAACTTAAAACTTGGACCTTAGTTCTCCAAAAGGAACACCCCAACTACAGTCATTCAAGCCCATTCTGTTACTGTGTGGAGTGCCCACTTCATGCTAAATGCCTTAAAAAATGAAGACCATGCTTCAGTTAGTGTACAACTACATAAATACATGTAAGAACACAGTATAAACCACATTATATCTTACAGTAATGATAAATAATACTGTCCCTGCTCAGTAAAATAGACAGAGAGAGAATTTAATTCAAACTATGTAAGATAACAGCATTTGCTGAGAACTGACTATAAGAATTTTTTTTAAATGTGTTTGAATGACATGAACACTAAGGCACTCTTTTGATGACCTAAGCATTAAACATTTGAGAGAATTTCCAATAACCAGAAATACTCCCCCTCAGATTCCTGCCCTAGGCAGTGCCCTAGAGTACCCCCATCCAGGAGCTGACCTCTCTGGGAACACAAGTGTTGCTGTAATTTTTAAAAAGCTCACACTTCAGGTCACACACTTTAATACAGTCTTACATGTATAGCAAATTGTACAGGAAGTAAATGGTAAGTTGCAATATTATTCAATTTTATCCTTTTCATTTGCAAAACAGACTCAATAAAATACAGCATATTTACACAGAGCTGATATTTTATATACAAAGCATTATTATATTTACACATTTAATGAACATACACTAGTATTTTTTTGATGGGATCAAAATATCCATAGTAGAAATACTGAAAATATCTGAATAGGAAAAAACCAAGATTACTATATTAATTGGCAACTGGCCAAACTTTTTTAATATCTATATATATGTGTATACAGTCTCATT